CCACCAATAATTCCAATAAGTATTCACTTCAGGTTTACGAAAGTAACTGCACTCAGTTTACTCGTTTTTTCAAATGTAACGCCAGCTGAATGTACTGATTTTTTTTTTTTTTTTTCTTTCTTTTTCTTCCGATTACGTAACACCGTTACATGTATTCCGTTACGACCCAACCCTGTGTAAGGGTCGAGTGCAAACGTTTTCGTTAAAACTAGTACCTGAGTGCAACGGAAGTTGAAGCTCCTGTGGCGGAGTCTTCCAGAGCCTGGAGGCGAGCATCGATAGCTATCATGGAGCTAGCCAGGGATTGCAGGGAGCCGGCCGCGCTACTCTCCATAGGGGTGTGTGACGCTCCCGGACTGGCGAGCCTGAGAAGGGGTGGATTTTTTGGAGGGGGACGGGATCCTGGAGGGCTCGACTTCCTGCCCTTTTTTACCTCCGCGGCTGCGGCCTCGTCCTGCTCTCTGGGAAGCTGGCTGGAGCTGCTGCCCCGGACTGGGGAGCTACGCTGGAGACCTGGTCCGAGAGCTATCGCCGCTGAGAGAGAGTGAGGCCTGGGGCTGTGGGAAAGCCCTGCTGCAGGAGCCGGGCGATGAGGAAGTCTTCCTCTGTTGATAAGCCGCTGTGGGGAGCCGAACCGGGATCGGAGACTTCCAGAGAAGGTTCGTGTTCCGAATTGTCCGAGTTGGACATCTTGAGCTAGTTGTTTCTTACGGTTTTTCTCACGAGAAGCAGTATTGTATTGCAACTACCATTGCGTGTGATCATCTGCAATGACAACTGACAGGGAGGAAGAGCAGGTATTTAAGGCATTTAGCATGTGCAGCGATTGGCTGCTGAGGCGTGACGCCCTCATATTTAATGAGGGGGGAAGGGAGCCATAGAGTGACGTGTGAGTGACTCGAGTTAGGTCTTCCTTATTGAACTTGCGCTAAAGCTTTCATTTGTAGGAGCCAGGAATGGCAGAGTGGGGGATTCTGTTGTACATTTAATAAGGGTTATAATTGTTTATATTTTGTCATGGCTTTCAATTCTGCCCTTTAGGCTTTAGCTTGGAGAATCACTAAAAGTTCAAGAAAATAAATGTAAGTGTGTTATTTTTCACATTGGTTTAAAGCAGATTATGTGTCTATTACTTTATGATACACAAAATAAGAAAAGCATCAACAAAAAATTGCAGAAAACACCTGTTTTGTTTTACATATTGTATTTATATCCTGTGATTGTAGATTTGAAAAGGGTAACTGATAGCTATACATTTATATTAAGGTCACCTATTTACAGAAAGTGTTTCGCAATACCATTATATGGGCTTCAAATGGCACATTTCGTTTGATATTAAATCTATATATTTATATAACAAATAATGGAATATGCATTATTAGAAATGTAAACAACACAACCTCATATTTTTTTATGATTAATAATATTGCATGACCTTTTTTCATCAGTGAGTGACTAATAAAACCCTAATATTTGTATAGCCCGCATGCAAACAGCAGATGTTTTCATTACTTCAGGAGAACATTTTTCAAGTCATCATTGTTATGCAGACATCAAAGTTAAAAACTAATTTAACATTTTTAAAAAGCTGCCCAAAAAGATAAACAGAAGTCTGAAATCCTTAGGGTGCATCTTCCGTCACTTAATTACTCCCCATTGGGTAGAGAAGCACGACAGTCTTTTCATATTACCCTCTTTACTCTGCTGTCGGGCTCCGAGACACAGAAGTGACAGAAATATTTTATTTCAAAGTGAATGCCTTTATTTTCAGTACTGTGTTTTCTATTTATTATAGTCATCTGAGGAGAGGGTGGGGGATTTTCCCAAAAAGTGCCCTTCCTGTAGAATTCTTATGATCCCATCTGGATTTATGACATTTTGTTCTCTATTCTGCTTAACATTTTGAGTATTCAGCTGATCCAATTTAAATGTAAGAGTTTATCTGCTCCTTTTTGTTACAACTTAAAACCCGTCCTACAAACAAATCGATACAGATGCTTGCTTTGTCCTTGGTCGGCATCCATTGAATTACAAAAGCAATATATAAAGCACAGCACATGAAGAGAAGTGAGTGAACATAACACGGTGCTTGGGGGGGGAGAATAAGAAACTCAGAAAGCCTGAGGGCCAACACCTGTCTAAATATATATAGATGAAAAACAATATAATTATCTGCTGTAAGATTAATAGACTCTTCTTTAAAAATAAACTTTGTCTAACCAAGCAGGTCACCTAAGAGCATGTTCTTGTTTACAGTGACAGCCCTCCTGCCCCTCGGGTCCAAAACAATTGGCTGAGTGAATCACAGTTTTGTCAAAATACTTTAGGGGGAGAGGGGGTTTGCTCCAAGAAGTCGATGAGCTGTTCTGTCAAACTGTGAGGCTTTGTTTCCCATTTTGCAAATGGTGCTATTTTTAAGGCACGATGTCCATGTAACAGCGACGTGCAGTCAGGGGAGGCAGGGGAGGCAGAGCCTCACCTGTCATACTCCAAAGTAACGGAAAAACAACTAAAGAAAAACGAAATAGTAATAATAATAAAATGTCTCCACTGATCTGTGTTGTAAATGTGATTTATGTATGATTCCAATCGCTTTTTATAGTCAAAATCAGCAAATTGGCCGAGCTCCGCTACAACTACATGGGAGCGATGAGGAGGGAGGCAGGGACGAGCTCTGCCTCACGTAAGCCCACAGTAACCGGCTGGAGCGCGGGCACTAATGTAGCGCGGGCACTTATTTTGTGAGCGCGCTCAAGCCAGTTACTGTGGGGTGAGGTGAGGCACAGCTGAGCTCTGCCTCACCTCAGAATGCGTCACCCCACAGAATATGTCTGGAAAGCGGGCCCTAAGTGCATGCCTGTTACCATTGATTGATTGATTGATTGAAAAGTTTATTAACAGCTTGTATATTGGGTACAGTACAGTACAGCTCAAAACATACAATTGTTAAGGGGATGCAGACCAGAGAAAGACTTTCGTCTTGTTTACATCAGGGTCCCCCATTTCCAATTCATCATATCATTTGAGACATATTTGACATACAGATGGCTTATTTACAATTTACATTATTTCACACACAGTGACGTCACGAGCTACCCACAATGCAACACGCGCCATATAAATATATATAAATGCGCCATTTTCCTGGAGGTGCTAATATCCTGGAAGTGCAAATATAAACAGCTAGCTAACTAGCCAGGCAGAGCGCAGTAGGTTTTTTTTCTGAATTAACGACCGAAGAAATCGCTGCATGTCTTTGGATTACATCTCTGGACTTGAGGTGTGTGCTTTAGGTCGTTACCAGCGTAAACTAGAGCTGTGTGGGTTGTTAGAGACTGCCTGCAGATGTATGGAAAAACGACAGTGGCCTTCGTCGATTTTGGCTGCATCTACGTCTAATTTCTGGAAACACCAGGTGAATACCCCACTTGTCACAATAATATTATCATGCCACTGCATATATGTGGTATTTTAGAGTTGACTAGATATTGATTAAGGCAATAGACTATGATATTCAGTACAGGAAGCTTAGCAACACCTAGACGGTGTACGGGTGTTTGCACCTCGCGTAAAACGGCGCAGACCGGAAGTACGGTGTCGTGCTCGGCCCAATACCCGTATGTGTGTGTGAAAGAATACAGGTGGTTTTTTACATACAGATTGCTTATTTACAATTTCCATTTTAGATGAAAACCATCTCACTGTATGTCACCAATGTAATGTTTGTAGATCCCTTTATTACATTTATCCTCGCCATCCATAGTCTCTAAATAACTTATTTCACGTATATGATATTTAGGCCCGCTGGTCTCATCATACAACGGCAATGAAAAAAGCACCTGGAGAGGCAGCCATAACCTCTGCCGCACTGAAGGGGGCGCACGTGAGCCCACATGTTCTTGTTGCTACTGTTATTCTACGCAGAGACGGTAACAACAAACTAGACTTTTGTTTTGAAACTAGAGGGAGATAAGGAGGACTTTTACAAAAATGTAATGGAGATTGTTGTCCAGAAGGATAGCATGGACTTCATCTTCAAGTCAAGGTAAGACCACAATTGTAAAATGAACATGGGATCTTACTAAGAAAGAACAATCCAATATTTATATTTGGGGTATCCTTTTGTTGAACAGTCTGTTTAAAATGAATCGAAGCATCAGACTAAAAAAGCTTTTGAAAATAACCGAACATTTCGATTAAGGTCAAAATATAATATTTGTAAATCTGACTGAAAGAGTCAGTGCCTCACCAGCCATGAACGTCACCGCTCGTCACTGCCGTGTAATAATGGGTGGGTTAAGTATGTGGATACCCCTTCAGCATTATATTTAATCCTTTCTAAAAGTAATGTAATTTTATTGTGAATCCGAGAAGATGTTATTACTATTAGATAACAGATGCTACAAAATGCTAAAAGACATATTATAGCACAGCTACTGTTACATATATTTTACTAATACAGATATGATCCATTACGGATCATTTCACCAATAATTGAAAAACAGTACACACACAAGGTGTAGCACAATTCTAGAAATGTTTTTTAGATATATGTTTTTCATTACTTTTTAAAAATAAATGAACAGCAGGAGACATTAATGTGTGATTTTGTGAAGCACTACACTGTTATTCAATATTTCCCACAAATAATCACCAACATTATTCAAAAGCATATTTTAAAATTATTCAAAAGCATATTTCTTGACATATATATATATATATATTTTTTTTTTTTGTTGCAAAACAGTAAAGTCCATAAATAATACATTGTATAATTTAAAATAAATATTTTAAAAAAAAATTACGTCATGTAAACGTTTACTGAAGTTACAATTTCAATGCAGGCATTTTAATTATAGCATATTATTTTTGCAATGTTTTATTAATTTAACTTTGTATTTTCACGATAGCTGAAAATGCTAGAACAGAACTATCTGCTATGCGGAACTGATTATCAGCCGCCATGTCTACCCGGACAACAATAACAAACGGCATTCACTGCGCTTCCGTTGCCCATGACACCGGAGCGAAGTTCTGACAGCTGATTTCCCAATCAGTTTAAATCCACTCCGAGTCCCAAATAATCACTTTTTAAAGTTATTTACAGTCCGACGTGCCTCCTATAACCTCCGGCTGGAGTCGCAGACAGCGCCTTGAACCGAGGAGTGCGGATTATTATGGTGTAGCAAGGGGCGCTAGCTCTGAGACAGAAGGTAAAACACAGCGCTCAGAAAACACACAAGCTAACACCGACTAGCACACATACTTCATCAATAACTCGCGTGCGACTTCACTGAATCAAAACGAAGTGACATATCCTCGTGCACTCAAGCACACGTGCGGAAAATAAGCCTTAGCTGAGACTGTTTTAAAGCTTGGACATAGTGTTTTAGCTAGCTGTTATTAGCTGTAGTGTTAGCGGTTTGTTATTGCAGTGGGTTAACGAGTTAAAAAGTAAAGTGACGAAGCTATAACTTTACCTATACAAGTGTTTACATTAGCATTCATATTAATTTTAGCTCCGCAAAAGGTGTTGTCGCGAGGAATACGCACTTTTACGTGTTTCAGTATCGAGTTAGCTGTACTAATTTTGTCCACCGTGAGTTACAGGGTGTATTTATTTACAGAGCAACTGCACTTAACATCACTCTACCAATGTATCCTTTATATTGGTTATGTAAATAAGCTTAACATACTATTCCAATGTGTGTACACTTGTGTGGTAGAGCCAGGGTCTGATTACACAGCAGATCTTTCATTACTGTATTTGCTAGTTGTATAAGCCTATTTCTTGCTTCTGCTTCATGGCTCTGCCCCTACCCCTGCAGCTACTTGACTAACATCCAGGTACTTTGTGTCAGTGACTGACAGCTCAGGCTGCTGGGCTGTGAGTCAGACTCAGTGACACACATTTGATGGCTCTCTGATACCTGATGCCTTCACCCTTTGCTGCTTCTGCTCCCCAAATGAGCTCCCCCGGTGCTCACTGGTCACACAGTCATCAGAGATGTTAGTGATCTGCTCCCCTAGAAAGGTTAAAATACCTTCTGCTGGACTACCACCTGCAATGTTAAGTGTAATATTGGGCAGAACAATTAAGGAAACAGGATAATAACGCAGATGTGCATTGAGTGACTGATACAAGCAGTGTGTCATACAGTACATTTCTTTGGAAGAAATGATGTCGCAGCACCAGGCAAAGAGGTTGCAGACTTCTTTGAAAGCTTGAAATTCCCTGAAAGTAGCGTTTTAAATGGTCATTTATTGGTGATTGTATATGTTTACATACTGTACTGTATCCTGTTTGTTTCTATTTGTCTTTGTGTCCTGATCCATTTATATAAAAACCTGTCTGAAAATTGATGTCACAATGTTTTTTTGGGTTGTGCAACCAGTAGCCAATAACCAACCAAGGTAACGCCCATCTTATCACCTGAGTCTCCTCCTAGAGAACCATCGTGTTCTTTTAAACACAACACTCCTCATAGGGGTGTGGCAGTTAATTTGCAATTAAAGCTACAGATACTGAATCAGCACTTTTTAAACAAGGCTGAAACAGAGGGGATTATGGGATGCTGCAATGAGTACATGACGTCAAACCAAACACTTCACAGACATGTTTTGTATTTATCTGATAGCTATAATATATTGTTGAAAAAGAGTATAATAGGGGACCTTTAAATGATTCTGTTATTAATTAATTCAAAAATAATATATACCATATTTTGATACATTATCTTTCCCAGGCTTAACCTGACATAGTTTTACAGCAACTTTCAGCACATGTCAAGCTTTCAAAAACATTGTTTAACAGTAAGACATTTGCAAGGTGTGAATATTTTCATCTTTCAGTTTAAAATGTCAAACATACAGTATATGATGGCTTCCTGCTTAGTGTCTAATAGGGAAGTTGGAAGATTCATGATGTTGAAACACTCTTGTCCTCCATTACTCTGCTGTTACCGTTATCTGCTGAATATCATGCAGTGTGGCCAAATGGCTGTTAATTCTATCAGTTCTGATGCTTGTCACTGTAGGTTGCCTTCTGCCAGATAAATTACATTTTTACGATATGATATTTTATCTCTTTTCCGGCAGATGGTCTAAATATAACTCTTTAAACATATATTGCATCCATTTTATTTGTCGTAGAGAATAGAGAAAATGGTTATTGCTGTGTGGTATTGATCGCCTCAGTTTCTAGCTGCATGTAGTCTCATATAACAAGTCCATAACTCTTTTGGCACCACACGTCTTTTCTTAACGGGGAGTCCTAATTGCAATTGACTCCTCTAATCGATGTCAAGCTCTCAATTATACCACCGTAATTAAATGTTGTCATAGCTGTTAGTTTATTGCTATAGGAAGTAAAGGAAGGAGTATAATGAGACCTCATTATTTCCCTGTGGCTTGCTCGTTAAACACTTGCTATTTCTGTCCCTATTACCCCTTTGCCTATATATGAGACCAGGTTAGTCTGAATATATGCATGATTGAAACGCTGAAACTTAATGTAGAATTACAACATGATGTGATTTTAAGATCTATAAGTTAACAGCTATGCTTTGGCCTTATAGTATACAACATACGATGTACCTGAAAGACCCTTTCCTTGCTCTATTGTTGTTTTCATCCATCCAGCTTTGAAGTATCTATATCTGCTTAATCTGTGCAGTGTCATGGGGGCTGAAGTTGTCAAGCTGTCGAATCAAGACCAAGCCCCAAGGCAGAAAGCAGGGCTTTGAAGTACATTTTCTTAATAACAAAACAGTGGTACTGCAACTTCTGTGATATCATAGGGTCAAAAAAGACTCCTTCCCCTTGAATAACAATGTGAAAGGGACGTCTGTATATCAGCATATCATTATCTTGAGATAAATCATCTTCACAGTACGAACTCTTGAAAAGCCCTCATTTCAATTATTAGGTTCTAAAGTTGTGAAATGTGCTACAGCTGAATCCAGTTATTTTCCAATAATTGGACTGAGCCGAGACCGACTGTGACTGAGTGGATTGGAGCCGGGCCTAGGGAAAACCCAAGTGCTTACGCTGAATGGGCCCAATACATGCAGAAGATCGCTGGAAGGTCCATGGAAGATCCCTTTTTTTCTTGGGAGAGAAGAGAGTCAGGCCATTTTACATTAATTTGCCACTGCGAATCTTTCGCTGGAATGAACGGGCCATGCCTCTAACGCTGTATCCAGTTGTCTTTATACATCTATGGTCTACTCTAGATAGACGACAAAATGAAATGAATAGAATAGATTTCACAGTTTACCTTGTGTGCACGTCTTTGTAGTAAGAGAGTAAGCCAGAAGAGATATTGAAATGATTTTTGAAACTCTTTGTGTTTCCCCCCCTTTGTTCTCCATTGACTGATGTATTCTCTATGTTCCTTCTGATTGTCAGGCTTTTTAGCAGCACAGTGCAGCGGTGGGCAGACCGAGGCAGACCACAGCAGCGCAGCCATGCTTACGTTGGCCAGTAAGCTAAAGAGAGACGATGGAGGGAAGACGGGCCGTGCCTCCGGGGCCTCCGACTCCACCCACAGGGTCTCCATCAGGGACCGCCTCCTTACCAAAGGTACCGGTATTTTGTCAGCTCGAATAATGAAAACAAAACAGACCCATATTTGGGGATTTACTCCTGGTCAATAACGTTTTTTTGGGTTGTTTTCAATACAGGAATATACATTTTCACGCTCCTCTTCCTCCATGAATGTTCAGTTCATTTTTCTACATTTCTATTTCTCCCTTTTCATTTATTTTCACTCTGTCCATGGCCTCTTGCTCCGTCTGTTTTATTTATAGGTATTTCTAGTTGCCTTGGGAAGCAGCTCCAACACATCTGCCTCCTCTCTCTGTCCTTTTACATTTTAAAGGACTGTCCTTGTCCTTTTCAGTTTTTAGCTCTATTGTTTTGTCTTGCCTCATGTTTACTCTCTTCTGGATTATCACCTGTATTTGTTTTAGTCTATACATTTACTTAAACAGATACTCCATTGGAGCGACTTAGGCCCCGGCCACACGAGGACGCAATCGGCTAAACGCATAGGATTAACGCAAACGCAATTGCCATAAAGCTTCCGTCCACACGCAATATTCACCGGATAGTGTCTGTCCACACGAGACAGCTCCGTTTAGCTCCAACCGCTGGAGAAGCTGCAGTACATATGCCGAGCCTGTACGTGGCGCTGTAACTTCCTCCACAAAAGCAGCGAAGAAGCATGGTTGTCATGGTTGCACTTCTGTTTATTCTCCGCGGTGGGGGCCGAGGGAACCGGGCAGAGTTTTTCGCCAATCAACGTGTATTAAAGTTTAAATCTTCCGTCAAAATTATAAAAGTGCCGGTCAAAGGTCTTCTTTGTTATTTATTGAGCTTTAAAACAAATGAATAACGAATCTATATAATATAATAATAAAATACACGGAGCCTCTCTTTTTCCTCCCTCTCTTTGGACAGCGTCAGTGTCTGTTTCATGCAGCAGCTGATCCAGTAATGAGTGACCCGGCCGACAGTAAAAATAAACATATTTATAACTAGTTTAGGTAGTTTGAGAGGTGTCTCCGTCCTGTCAGATTAGACTTCACTCGCGTTTATGTCCATATCGAGAGAAAAATAAATAATCTGAATTCAGTGTGCAGTTTACTTTGACGCGGGGGTGAGCAGCAGAGGTGGGGAGAGGCGGGGCTATTGCGTCATCATTATCAGAAAATGATCGTATAGGGCGTACACACGGAGCCGTTTGACCCCCCAGAGCGTTGCGTATGCTGTTCTATCCACCTTGGGACCCGTTATCGTTTCCGCAGTCGTTTAGTGCCGTATTCAGTCGTCCTTGTGTGGCCGAACGGTCTATATGACACTAAACAGTAACGTAAACGACCGTTTTCGTCCTCGTGTGGCCGGGGCCTTATTTTTCCTTAGGTACTGAGGTAAGGTTTTGGTTAAAGGTCAATACAGTTCTTGGACAGGAAACTGCTTAATGAGCTGGCTTGGGACCAGCACTTCATACAAGTCAAGCTAAGGTTGCCTGGCTTTTAGTCATTTCTGTTTGAGTATAACACCATAATACGTCTTGTGAAAAAAAACCTGACCTCTGGTGCATTTTTTGTTTTACTTGTCTTTCCTGCTCTTCCAGGAAACACACTTGTTCTATTATCTCAATCTGTTTTGAAAAAGCAACTGATACTGTATCCGTTTGTCGCTCCTTAATTATGATTCTTTCTTTATCTCTCTACAGAAGTTTCAGAACTTGAAGCCCATCTCCCTAGTAAGTATGCTATTGTTATTGAATTATTATGTTTTTTATCGACCAAGAACAAAGAATAAAAATACAAAAGAGAACATATTATACTTGCCAGATTTGAGCTAATAGCTAATTACCATCTGCAGCCCCTGGTCAAGTGCGTTACCCGTTACATGCACACTGATTTTTCTTACAGTTTGTTGAGTCAGACACATTCTTTCTGCTTTTTCTATCAAAATAGCACAAACTTTGGAATGTATCACTTCAATACACTACATTTCAGTGGCGAACCGTGTCTATCACAACTGGACCTTTTGTAGACACACACACACCCCGCCGCCGCCGCCCCTCCGCGGCATTATAATGTCCGTCTTTTCACTGAATTGTCGTCTTGAAAAGGGTACTCACAACAATTCCGCAACAACTTCATCTTCACCTGTTGCACTTCAACGTTAAAAACAATAAAACGGCATGAATTGCTTCGTCGCATTCATCTAGAATCCTCTGTCTCGAGCCAGTTAACTAGCGGGCCTTCTAGAATACCCTGGAACCGAGGGAAACTCTGAAAGAATACGCCCATTGGCTACAAATCAATATATGATTGGTTGATCAAACTGTCAGTCCAAACGTACGCTCTCATTCAGTGCAACGGCCAGGGCATTCGATCAAGGATGTAGAATACCTTGGTTGAAGGATATTCTACCAAGAGACCCAGAACAAGATCTGATTGGTTGCTTTCTTTTCTAACACAAAACCACTGAAATGCGTAGTGCATGGTCCGAGAAGGACAAACAAATCAACGTAACACTGTAATATTACAGATCAACAACACAGATCACGATTCTCATTTATTCATTTTATATACATTTTATTTATATAATTAAATCAATTTTTTGTTTGTTTTATCTGAGTGTTCCAGGGTATTCTCTGAATACCTTGAAGGCCCTGACGGTTCGCCACTGCTACATTTACTATCAGCACTGATTTGACCTCGACAAAAAAAGGTGGGAAACTTATTTTCTAAAATAGGCCTTATATTGTTTTGCATTTATCTGTCCACGTCCACATTTTTTATTTAAGGCTATTCAGTCTGAATTATTGACTGATCAAAAAAAATACATAGGATATTAGGGGTGTAACGGTATCCGTATTCGTCCCGTACCGTCACGGTTCGGACGTCACGGTTCGGCACACGCAGTCACACGACGAATACGCCTTTTTTTTATGAGTGGGAAAAAAGTCTGTCATTCAGGGCAGTATCCACTACACTATATATAATCCAGGGGGCGGTATTGCGCCTAAAAGCTGTTTGCCAGCCGCCCTTAAACAACAAATGAAGAACAAGAAGAAACACAACAACAAAACGAACAAAATACAAGAAGAAGAAAAGTTAGTATGGCGATTTCAGATAACACAGGAGCTAGAACCCACCTGCTTCTTTTAAATCAGCTGTGTGGGAACATTTCGGGTTCCCTGTGGACTACAATAACGATGGAGTGTACGAGTGGTGGATCGGACGAGGACGGTGTGTCGCCGTTGTTCTACAGTGGTGCGGTATGCTAATGGTAACACACGCCAAACATGCTAAATCATATCAGAAGGCATCACCCAGATTTGCCAATCACCGGAGCCCGGCAAAAGACAACAGCAGTTCAACAGCTGATCCCTGCTGTTTTTATAAACCAATAGAAATGAAAGCCGTGAGACCAAAATAAATAACGGAAGCTTTTGGCATATGTTTTTCAACGACTTAGCGCTCTTGAAACACTTTCTTATTATTTATGATGTCATATTTTCAAGACATTCTTTTTAGCTTGACAGCTTGATGAAACCTTTTTGTTTGACATCAGCCATTATAGATAATATGGCCATCTGAGTGTACTGTGTATGGTTTGTTTTTAACTGTTTAATACAGTTCATTATTCAAAAAAGAATTCTTTATTTTTAAACTGAAACTTGCACTACTGTTCAATCATAAATAACAACAAACCTGGAATTATGCATTTGGGACTTTTTTTTGCTTTTTCTTGTTGTACCGAACAGTACCGAACCGTGACCTCCAAACCGAGGTACGAACCGAACCGTGACTTCTGTGAACCGTTACACCCCTATAGGATATACAATGGTGCAGTGATGACGTATTTTTGTAGGCTGATGTTAGTGAAGTTAGCATCGCAACCTTGACAATAAACAATAGGCGCTTTCACACCGCAGTACTTTTCCCACAAAGGTTCATCAAAACTTAGTTCATGAGAACTCTTTAGTTCTCATGAACTAAGTACAGATCGCGTTCACACCGGAATAAGTCCCTGGGGGAGGATTAGGCAAATGAAGTGACATCACTTCTTCTTCTTCTTCTTCTTCTTCTTCTTCTTCTTCTGCTTTGGGTTTACTGGCAGGCCGCAAACAACTTCACGGCGTATACTGCCACCCGAAGTCCCCGGCCGGAAGTCCCCGGAGTTGCGGACTGGCTTCAGTAGAAGCTGCTGGGACTCTCAGCAGCTTCTACTGAAGCCTTCCGAGTAAATCACCAGAACGCCGACACCTCCTCATCTCCACGCTCCCATGTTTTCTTTTGTGTTGCCATAAGTTAGTCTCTCTTCGTTTGTGCGCTGGGCTAATGCTAATGCTAATGCAAGGATAATAAAATGGCGGCTTCACAAAACGTTTTGGGAGTTTTACGGGGCGTGGATTGCAATCCGCCCAGCCAATCAGAAATAGGAACCTTTTTCTCCCACGAAAGAAAAGGGGGTAAAAAGGTTCTCATGAACTCATTTTAGTTCCGGATTTCGGAACTATATCGGAACTAAAGTGGGAAAAGTACTGTGTGAAAGACCGGGTGAAAGACCCGGTGTGAAAGAGCCTAATGGGATCTTTTGGGGGGACATTTAGATACTAATCACAATATTTGAAGCGTAACTGCAATAACCTAAAGAAAAAAGCATTTAATGTCCGACGTCATGATGTTTAGTAGTTTTCGGACATTCACAATTGGGGTATTTACTCACGTATTTTGTCATAAAACAAAATGTGAAAATGTCTTAAGACAAGAGACATGGAAGTGGTAAAAATACTAACTCTGTTCTGGGTTTTAACAGTCATGCCTGCACTACTTTACAGTATAACTAATTGTAAAGAGTAATTTCATCAAACAACTCTGATTTTCCAGATCACCCGGCTCTTCCACATAGATGTTTTCTGTATTGAGGCTTCACGCTTGTTATACTTCTGGCCTCAGGATGTATTTGATCAAACAGACTGTGACCCCCAAACTGCTATTTAGTTCTGATTTTTAATTAGAATGTATATTAAAGTTTATCGGATCTTCGTTGCTCAGTTGTCTGGTTATTATTATGCATGAGGGCTGAATTAATTATCATTGCTTTGGCTGAACTCAGCATGTTGGCTGTTGTTAGTGGTCTGATGAGTTTCCTCTCTCAGCTGAGGACCATGAAATCCAGGGAAGTAAACACGTTACTGTTACGGATCCCACAGTGTTGATGAGAAAGTAAGAAGAAGACTTGCTCAGCTGGAAAAATTATTTTTTGTAGAAAAGACATGTGATAATATTGGATCAAAGCTAATGTTTGCACCTAGTTACTACAGTGCTTTTTTTTTTCTGTATGGTTTTCGTTTATCAAAGCAAATGAAATCAAACTTTACTTATACAGCACTTTTCATACACAAAGGTATGGAAGAGGATTAGGGCCAGATGTCAAATAAAATTGAGATCTAACCAAAAGTGATTTTTTAAAAATGATTTATTTTCCATGATTCTGACTTAGAAAAACATTTCAAAAAATGTCACAATTCTGAGATTATAGTCGGAATTCAGATTTTTTTTCATTTAAATGTGGTCAGATCTCCAAAACCATCACATGGGGCCCTAATCCTCTTCAGTACACAAGTAACATGAAGTGCGGTACAACTTAAACTTACGGTATAATGAAAGTATTAATAGACCTGACAGTTCTAGATGGTTCATAGGTTAAAAGCTCATTTGATAAATAGCTAGGACCAAAACCATTAAGAGCTTTAAAAACCAACGGAAGTATTGTAATGATTAATTTAAGGTTAGTTCATTTTTATAGCACACACAGGCAATTCAAAGTGCTTTACAAAACGCAATGACACGCTTTGTATTGTAAATACAGTTGATGCTAAAAGAGGCACAGGTGTTAAATCATCTGAAAAGCATTGGCAAATATATATGTTTTCAAGCTTTAAAACCCTTTTAATGCCATCAACCTGCAGAAGAAAAGCGACTGATTAATTGTAATCAAACAAATAAACACAAACTTGGGGCATGGAACATGCATACATCTACTCAATAGTCTTGTTGCAAACTCTATTCCGATTGGTCAGTTAAGGTATTCTATGGTCTGTTATTTAATTGAAAAGGACAAAGTTGATTTGATCTACGTTGTTCCTTTACATTTATACCACACACGTTATAGAAGTCTCACTATATGTGGTAGCCTTATGTATCATTTTAAACTGTGGATTCAGTGAAAAGAGCTGATGTAATGTTGATTTAGTAAAAAAATAATTCTAGCACACGATGTCATTTGTCTAGGGTGCGGTACATGTGTTTGAACAGCAGGGGGGGATGTGGTGCCACATGGAGACCCCAGGCATAAATCCTGCTAGCTGTGATGACAGAATGAACACAGTGGCTCGAGATGGACTTTAATAAAAATACAATAAATTATTGATGTTGGTGTCATTATTTGACACAGAGAAAAGTAATGGTTGATCTTCATGGAGCTACTGACCCTTGACCAGACTAACTAAACTCCTGTCATTTGTTTTTGTTCAGGTACATGCAAAGCCAGTTTCCCAGATGAGGACAAGCTGCATCATTTTCAGCTGGCAGTGTCACCTGGTAAGAGAAACATCATCCGTCAGTCCCTTTACACACATAACTGCTCCCTAATGAGAAAAATAGTGAATGTCAGTTTCGTTTCCACCCCTGCAGTGTTAGTATTGTGTGCACTTATTGCAGCAGTGTTTGTGGCTGCTTACTAGTTTTGTGGTTTTTAAACACATACAAAAACCCAAATAGAATCAAACATCACATTCAATGGTTATGATACACCACACTTATATATATATATATGTTGTAGGGAAACCCAGCATGGAACTTGAACCAGGATGTTGACACTTAAATGTACTGGTCAAACACTATAAAAAATGTAATATTTGTTTAATGTCGTAAAAATAGCTTTTCAGTTTTTTATACTAATATCACGTCATTTGGATTCGATTAGAATCACAATACTTTATTTATCCTGGGGGAATTCGATTTTTGTAACAGTTGTTCCATTTCTAAATGAAATAAAAGTATAACAAAAAACGGAATAATATAAACGTAAGAAGTTAAAATACGAATTTCTTAAAAAAAAGCAATAAAATAAAACATTTCATATATAATAAGAAGTTAGAGTAAGATGTCCAAAAAGTTCAAATGAAACTGCTAAAAACTTTTTTTATAAACATAAGAAGTAAAAGTTAAACTGTGCAATGGTAATGGTACAATATATAAAATGTATATTACAATATATAGAGGGGTATAGTATTATTACATTACACTGTATTTAATTGACTAGTATGACATAAAGGGCGGCATTCTGAAAAGTTGATTCATCATTGGAGACGACTGAGTGCTTTTTTCCACCAAATTCCTGCACTTTTTCTTAGTTATGTCATTGTACAGAGGCTAAACATTTACAAACTAATTCTAAAAATGACCTAACCACAAATCTACCGGAGGGCAGCATAACGCCGGGCGGGAGCGTAGAGCAGTGGTTCCCAAACTTTTTGTGCCCAAGGCACACCAAAGGACAAGTACAAATCTCAAGGCACACCTATTGTGCAAAATATCCCTTATAACACGTGTTATCACTCATATCATGTAAAATATCTGTAAATGTGCATAATTATTTACTAATGCCAAATAAAATGTGACAAAGACAACTATATTATGAAATATTTTAGAAATTAATTTGAAACTTTATCAAATTAGGCTTCATCAAAGCAGCAACACACTCATTTAAACCAGACAGGTCACAACATTAAAAATGAGGCAAAGGAAATTCAGCACAGAGAACTGTCAATTGAATTGTCAAAAAAAATTGTCAAAGAAGCTGCATTGTCCATGGTCCTGAACTACAAATTATAAATTATAAATGTATTACTTTAAAAAAAGTTATATATTACACTACTTCGTTACTATCTACATAAAGTAACTCGTTACTTTACTCGTTACTTTACTCGCCGAGCACGTACGAACTGCGCATGCGTGAGTGGATATAACTTTCCTTACCAGCAGGCGGCGGTAGTGTGTATTTGTCATTCAAAACAGGCAACAACCGGAAGACAGAGAAGAAGAACAGACTATGTGATATAAACAAACAACAAATAGCTGTGCGGTAGCTTCACCTTAGCATGTGTTCTTTGCAGGTGTTTGACGTGGTGTTTCCAGCAGTGGATAACAGCTTCTGGCCTGGACACAGTTTGCACCTCACCGTCACATTCCTGTCTATTCTTCGGACGAACTCAAAATAATGGGCATACCTCCACCCCTCGAGAGTTATCGCTGACTCAGCCATGTTTATGCAGCACTGCACGTGGAGATGTGGACGCGCAAGTCGCACAGATTACGTACATATAAACCTACAAAGTACTGATATAGTAAATTAAAAAATAATTATTTTTGTGTAGTTGTATATTGCAATAATAACGTATGGTTGTCACAAAATCCCACGGCACACCCGGACTTGCCTCACGGCACACCAGTGTGCCGCGGCACACCGTTTGGGAACCACTGGCGTAGAGTAACGGCCCGTCCACACTACAGCTTCGACAGTTTCAAAAACGGTTTCCAACGCGTCTGCCCATTCACTTTGAATGGGGTGACGTCACTTTTCGCCGAACTGCATTGTGGGAAGCAGAGCGGAGCTTTCCTGGCGTTTCAGGCTGCAAAAGTTGAGCAATGTTCAACTTTTGAAGCTTCTGAAGCTTTCGGTGGAAGCGTCAGCCAATCAAATAATATGCCAGTCCAAGCTCTAGCCAATCAAACTGCTGCTTGTGTGTCAGGGGCGGGAGATTCATGTGATTGGTTGTTGGTCGAGCTTCAGACACGCTCAGCTCCAAGCTTTTTTTTAAGCTGTAGTGTGGACGGGCCGTAAGACAGCCTGACTCGTGTCTGTTGTCAGCTCGGCTGCTCTCAGCTCAGATGCAGACTGTCAATGAAGGCTGCTAAACTGCCATTGAACCAGACGCTGGAATGACCTCCTCCACTGCCGTCCGCTGGGATTGACTCTTCAGCCGACAGCGCTGTCAGCAGAAGCAGAATCAGAATCAGAATACCTTTATTAGTCCCACAGAGCGGACATTTGCAGCATTACAGCAGGAAAGAGCCACAGACAGCTTAGTGTTGCATATCTTAAATGCGTTAAAAAAGTACTAAGAGAAGAGAGGCTCTGTGGTGTGTGAGGATTTTAAAACTCAACTGTCACCACTCTTTTTACTTTCTCTGATGTGTGTGAATCACAGGCGATGAACAAAGGCATTAGAACTTGGGTCTTTTAGCTAAAAGAGACTAGAGGGTGATATAAGGGTTTAGTGGGGGGCAGCAGTTCTGAAGTAAAGAGTATGAAGAAAACACTTCAGTACTTACAGTATGTGAAGTGTTTATAAAAAGTAAAATATCAATCAATTTTTATTTATATAGCCCAATATCACAAATGTTACATTTGTCTCAGTGGACTTCACAGTTTGTACAGAATATCAGTATGACAATACGACACCCTCTGTCCTTAGACCCTCACATCGTACAAGGAAAAACTTCCGGAGAAAACCCACAGTTTAAAGGGAAAAATGGGAGAAACCTCAGGGAGAGCAACAGAGGAGGGATCCCTCTCCCAGGACGGACAGACGTGCAATAGATGCTGTGTGTAAATTGAAAAGATAATACATTTGAAACATAGGTAGTCCAAATGTTTGGAAACGCATGTGTGTATAATAGGAAGATGAATCCACGAGGATATCCATCCAGGACCTATGATCCAGGACCACAGCCACGATTCAAGATCCAGGGCTCGCGATGCAGGACACAGGACCGCAGGATCATCCATGACTCCGGATCCCGGCGTATATAGACACCAAAAAGAAAGAAATTTGGGGAAGCTGGGTTAATCGGAACATGAGAGTACACAGGTATAGACAGAGAGAAGGAAGAAGTAAGATGTCCCCCGACAAACTAAGCCTATATCAGCAAAACTAGGGACTGAATCTAATCAGCCCTAACTATAAGCTTTATCAAAAAGGAAGGTCTTAAGCGCACTCTTAAAAACGGATAGGGTGTCTGCCGCCCGAACACAAACTGGAAGCTGATTCCACAAATGTGGAGCTTGATAAGAAAAGGCTCTGGCTCCCATTGTACTTTTAGAGACTCTAGGAACAACCAACAACCCTGCATTCTTGGAACGCAATGCCCTAGTAGGACAGTAGGGTATAATGAGTTCTTTAAGGTAAGATGGCGCCTGCCCATTAAGGGCTTTGTAGGCGAGAAGAAGAATTTTAAATTCTACCTGTGTTCTATAGGGAGCCAGTGTAAGGCAGCCAGAACAGGAGTAATGTGGTCCCTTTTCCTAACTCTGGTTAGTACACGAGCTGCAGCATTTTGAATCAGCTGAAGCGACTTGACTGACTTCTTGGTACACCCTGATAATAAGGAGTTACAATAATCCAGCCTTGACGTAACAAATGCATGGACTAGTTTCTCTGCATCGTTTTGAGGCAAGATATGCCCTAAAATATTTATAGATATGACAAATTAAGAACCACAGGCACATTACGTTTTGTGTTTATATAAATATTTAGTATTTTATTTTGATGTTTGTATGAATATTTAATATATATGTATAAATGTATATTTATATCTTTTTTTTGTAATCTTTATTATTTTGCCTAAAATATGAGAATTTAAAATAAATATAATAAAAACATATTTATAGCTATGACAAGCACTAACCACTGCAGGCACATGATGTCTTATGTTTATATAAATATCTTTATTTTATTCTGTATTCATTTATTTGATCTTTAATTTAATTCAAAACATTTAGCAAAACAATTATTATTACATATATTCAATTCAATTCAAACCTTTATTTATCCAGGTAAAATCCCATTGAGATCAATGATCTCTATTTCAAGGGAGACCTGCAGCAGGAGGTTCCACAATATATATATTCAAATATTATTTTCTTGATTCTGACGACAAACTCGAGGATAAACTTTTACAACAAATGTGAGAAGTGGAAAATAAATTCTCATTTTAATGCGGCACAGTTCTCTGAATACTGAGTGCTCAGCAAAATATTGTCTTTTTATTTTTCTTAGCCTCAGCCTCCAGGGAGGACATGCAGCCACAACCACTGCTTTCTCATTGTATGCAGGGTTTGTGTGTACACATTGTTTGGGAGTATGTCATTTATGATAGAGTGGGGGGGACTGCAGATCTCAGTAAGCCAATTTGTGTCTTAAAGTATTCCCTTGAAAAGGCACTCCAGTCTTCTCTGGGTATTTTTCGACGTTACTGCAGCACCATCATTATTCCCCACGTCCAATAAGCTTTGCTCAGCAGTGTTCCCAGCTAAATGGGCCATCTGTCGAATACTGTACAAACCGAGAAGACTGGTGTGGGACTAGCCGAGTCTCTGGAGGCTGTTTTACCACTTACTTCCTGCTATTATAAAATCTATTAACACCGCTTAGACCAGATAGAAATTCATTGAGGATAAATGTGTAGAATTGTAAATGTTAAAGATTGAAATCATTATTAGGTTTAGATATGATAACAAATATTTGAAGAATGAA